TCTACTGAACCTCAAAGGTCTGTCTTGGCAAGAGGCATCTGAATTTGTTCCAGTACTATCTCTATTCCATATTGAAACTGATTTCTGCTCCCTGCTTTCCCTGTGCCAGGACTAGGTCTTGCCTTAGAGAGCACCACTCAGCACAGGTCAAAACAACCAGGCAATGTACTCAAAGTTAGGCAGCACAGATGCTCAAACACACTCCCTGGATCAATTTTGTTTAGCAACAGAAACAAAGGCCAAATGATTAAAGGAGTTTTACCACACCCACAAGAACTGTGAGTTGTGATAAAGGTCAAGAAACCATTTATAGAATGCGAACTTGGCTTTTTCAGCCAATTTTTACAATTACAGCCCATCTCTAAGGAAGACACAACCAGTTGTGTATAAAGGAGGCCATGTGCTCTGAGGTCAGAAGAAGGATAGGGGCTGCCCAGCTAGGACACTTTCCTAGCATTTTCCTGCCCTGCTCTGGCATGGCTTCTGTCACAATTTCTCTACCTGTAAATGCAGGTGATAATCCTTCCTACAGAGATTGGAGAAGGGGGTGAGAGTGTTTCATGAGGTAAAGAATAATATGATAAAAAAGGAAGTGCTAGCAGTTTCAACATTAAAATGGTATTTGTTATCAGGGATAAAATTAAACAGATTGTAATTTGCTTTCCACAAATGCTGTAATTAGGATTCTCTCAGCTTTTGTGTTCATATATGGAGCAGCCTTTTATCTGTTGAGGAAGGGGGAGAAAAGGTGCACTTTCTGTTATCCTATTTTTATATGTATATATCTCTATCTTGTTACTTTCAGACTTTATTTCTTTTTTGAATACCAGGTGAGCCAGTAGTGTCTCACAAAAAAAAGCCATTTACTTTGTTGTTATAACTCATTAGCATGAAAATGCCTGCATAGTCAGCAATTAGTATTTAAACTTTAGGCAGAAAGTTTGAGAGCTCAGGTGGGGAGAGACCAAAATGGGGAAATGACCCAGGGCTGTCCTCAGGGTTAATTCTAACTGTATGACTTAAAGCATATCACATTGGTTCACAGTTTTGAAAGGTGTTTAAACTCATAGCTCCAATCAAAAGCAGTAGGTTCAAAATAAATTCTTAAAATAAAAAAAAGTTAGGATTTTCACCCAACTAAACTTAGATGCTAAATCCAGATATGAGTTCTAAAATAAGTCTTGATTTTTTCCACATTAACTGAGGTTAGTAGGAGTTATGCCACTGTAAACAAAGGAAGAATTTCACAAAAAATTTCTGTATGTTGTGGTTAAATACACAGTTATTCCCTAAAATTAGGTGTAATTCCTTACAATGAATAACACCTGTAAGGAAATAGAAAGGCAGAAGCTTCTTAAAATAAGTCAGAGGTGAATTACACTTAGTGCTGTTAAAATATAATGGTAGTAGTCCTTTGTTCCATTCATAATATATCTTTTCAGCTTAAAAATGAATAAGAACTATTATATTGAAAAAATATAACCTTTAAAACAGATGTGATACAGTTCATTGTGGTTTGCAAATAAATTGGCAAAAAGTATGTATTTGGCTACTATTATAGCTTTTATATTAGTTCAGAAATATCTTTTATTCTAGTCATTTATAAATCAGTTTGTTCTGTCCATTTTTTTTTGTTTTGTTTTGTGGGTTTTTTTGACAAGTCTAAGGTATCATTCAACAGTTTTATCCCCCCTAAACTGAAGGGAGGTGAAAAGAGGCACAACATAATTTCCTCCTGAATGGGGACTAGGTAGCACCTCCTGCCTACCTTCCTTCTTGTCTGTCTGGAATGGCTAGACCTTCAAATTTTCTGGGACTCCAAATTCTGGACTCCCTGAGCTCCTCCCATGGAAAAAGTAAAGTCATAAATGTTGCAAAATACACCTTCTGGGAAATTCCATCACAATACAGCCTGTTAGGGGTATGCAGACACACCTCTTCAATTCTGATTGCTGAGTGGGAAGAAAGAGGATCTGAAGACTTATGAAGTCAGAACAAGCTGCTGCAGGCAGAACTGTTCCCTCTTTCTACCTCAATGATCTGTAATTTCTTAGAGAAACTTTCTAACAGCCTACAACCTAGGTCATGAGCCAGACTGGCCTCTTTGGGCAGTCTCAGTGCCATGTTTGGTGAGGGTTTCTGGGACCACGAATGCTTGTGTTGCCCCTTGATGCAGTTTGGGCATATCCTGCCGAGTTACAAGCTGGTGGAGGCATACAGACACAGCAACTAGTGGGATATGCTGTCCTTTAGCCTGTTTCCCATCCCAGACTGCCCCAGTTGATGAGGGGCTGTTGAGGTGAGCCTCACACATCCCCTTCTCCCCAGTTCTACCTACTGGTGGAACAGCCCCTCCCTCCAGCACGTTTATCCATAATGATCAAGTGGCTTTCTTCAAAGACATTGTTGCCAAAGCCCTTTTCCACCATTGAAGCAGCTCAACAAATAATGTCTGACTCATAACTTACCCAACCCATATATTTTGCTTTTAAGTGGTGTGACCAGCTCTGAGCATACTAACTGCTCTGTCTCACAGTTCAATGGTAAGATTATCTATTAGGGCTGTATTTTCAAAATATATTTTCTGCATTTTATTCATAAGAACAATGCAGAGTCTTCTAGCAGTTCAAACTTCTTGCCTTTCTTGCCTGTGAATTGTTCTTTAATGCTCCTGTTGTGAATGACCAAATAGGAGCACTAGATTTAAATTCTTTCTAAGTCTTGTTATTTTATATACCTTTAACTGCTCCCTTTTAAAATTTGAGAGACAATTTTTTCACTCTCCCTTCCCATGTGGAAGATAATGCAGGTCTCAGAACATTTTGGCATGATCAGGGATTACCCACATACAAAGTCCATCAAGAGAGAAGTGTCAGAATATATTCTGACAATACAGTAGGAAACTTTTGAAACTGTCTTGAGCTAAACCAGAAAAAACCCCACTGTCATTTCACTACTGTGTGTCACAGGATAGCTGTTCCAAAATCTGTTGCCCTTTAGCATCCTATTTTGTTCTGGGATAACATCCATACCTCGTTAACTCCTATTTCTCATTTGCATCATCATCACAATACATCACAAAATATTCCTTTGTTGACAGACATCTTATTTATGGCATTATGAGACTGACGCTGTGGCACATTTATTTAATACTCAGACAACGGGTAATATTTAAAACATATATTGTGCTATTATTGAGTCTTCCCACTTTGGAAGACTGAAAATAACCAGAGAATTCACATTTACATGTCTGACTTTCTATGATCATATTTTAAACAACAATTTTGGTTCCATTTATTTCTGCACGTTTCCCTGTGTAACTAAAATTCTGATCAGAAGAATGAAACTTTTAATATGGGCATTCACTAACATTCTTTAGCAGCCATGGTCATCATTTTAGACACTTTTTAGAATAATGTATTTCAGGGAATTATGAAAAATTACATGTAGATGAATGTGCTGGTTTTAATATTTCCTTAATTTCAGAGTTTTAGTGAGGTTTCTGGTTCTGCATATTACTAAATTTACAATAGTGATAATAATAAAATCTTTAAAAACTCCCTAGATACATGCAGATGTTTACTAGTTTAAAAAGTTTCCTCTGAGTGAGATGTAAGCTTTTTTTAAGAAAGCACTTCAAAAGAAAAAAATGTTGTGGCTGGCATTTGTTATACAGATAGTGAAGAAACTAATTCATTGTTTGGACAGGCCATTGAGTAAAAAGTAACTGAATTTTTTGGGGAGAAGATCAAGTACTTAATACAATACGTGATTTGTATCAGCTTTAATTTGTAGGAAACGTAGTGAATCCAAAATAATTTCAAAGTAAATATATTAGAAAGCTTATGGAGATTGTCAAAAGAGGTTTTTTTAAAAAAGACTGCATAGCTACTGTTGCTTCCAAATATCACATGAAATATTTTGTTACTTCAAGCACACAAAACATTGAAAGTAAAAACATTCTTTATGGAATAAAGCACCATAAATTCTGTAAATACCTAGAGACTGTCCCATTTAGGGAAAAATTGAGTACAGAGGTTGCAGTTTTATTGTTAGTTTGCATAGAACTGTATTTTACTTAAGGCAAAGTTCATCTGTGTAGTGAGGGTGAAATAAACAAAGGCAGCCCATTTAATGTGCACACTTTCATACAGGAGAGGAGGAAAGAAAGAGGGCTAGAGCAAAGAACACTGGTGCTGGGTAGCAAGGTGCATGGCACTTAGGGAGACAGCACTGTACCTGGGGAGGGGTTGTGCACCTCTGACAGCTTTTTCTTCAAAGAATTGACTAGGACTGACCTCTGCTAGGAGCCAGAGTGACCCTCACATACCCCCTCAGAAACCTTCCCTCACCCTTATGGGTGGGGCAGGTGCCTCGCAAACTCTTTGTGTTTGCCTTCCCCACCTGTGGAAGAAGCGGATGTGGTGGTGCCTCTATTCCTCAGCTCAGGGTTAGGTGGAGGTCCAAGCCACGTCTCTGGGTTGAAATCAGGATTTTTACCTTCTCTTGGGCTTCAGGGTGTTCTAGGTGGAGGCTCAGCATCCTCAGACAGTCCACAGCCTGCCCTAGAAGCCCCACCAGGACTCATGGGGGCAGGGAGATGTAGAAAGATAATCTGTCTTGGGAGGCTAGTGAGCAAGCTAGGAGCAGTGAGGAATATATATTTTGGGAGTCATAATGGGTTGTCTTTCAAATAAACAGTATTGCTTATAATTTCCAAAGCAAAGAAACTATATGCAGATCAACAGCAAATTGGTAATCAGTTGTGCCAAGGTAACTGGCGAACACAGTTCCCCAAAGCAACATTTTTATCATGAAACCAACAAATTGACAAGTTCACATCCACATTCTGTATCCACCTACAGAAAGTCACTGAGAAAGTCAAAGGTGTATAAGACCTTTATTCGATCCCTGTCAGAATTTAGGAAGGCTGGTGGAACTGGGGCTGATGCCTTGTGTCATAATTGGAAGAAAAACGTTGGCAAACAACAGTATCTACCAGAGAGCGTGGAATTCCCTGAGCAGAATTGCTACCAACCAGATTAGCCAACCTGTGCTGCAGACGGAAATTCGATGCAGCTTTCCAGGATCTAAGTTTATAGAGGAACTGAGAAATTGCCCTAATTGACATATGGCAAAGTTGAAGCTCTAACTTCAAAAAAGAGTACTGAACAACACAGGAAGCACTGAAGAAACTAACAGCAAAAAGGTAGTGCACAAAGCATAAATGCAGTAATTTCAAATAGAAAACACTAACAAATCTGAGTTAGTACAGTTAGATTTGCCACCAGCAGTCAATATTGATATCACAGCTCTTTCCACATGACAGCATTTTGTATTTGATTAAAACTGGACTGTTTGGCACCTGTTGAAAGCATACTGCAGATTTCATAGTCTTACTCATCCTCACTTTGGGTTTCCTCATATGAGAACAATTATAGTTTTAATCAAATAAGAAGAGATTGATTTAGACAATTAACACCCAGAACTGTGAAGCACTATATTTCATATCCAAATAAAGAAATGGAAGATTTAGTAAAACAAATAGATGTTACTGACCAAGTCAATGTATACAGGCAAAGATAATTGATATGAGCAAAGTTTTATATCAAGTTTAATTTACCAATTAAAGAAATGCAGCACAGACCCCATTGTCTAGGATGCCTTCTCTTGTTGCTTGTTTGGCTTTGCCATCAATGTCACTATGAAGACAAAGTGCAGATGAGTGCAACACAAGTATCTCATGACTTGACATTACACCAAGAGACTCACAGAAATAGTGAGTGTAATAAAATATAGCTCATGTGCTCGACAGGTGGATGTACATGCAAGTACATACAAAGATTTTGTCCAGGGTTGCAAAAAAGAATCAAACATATATTTGGAAAAGAAAGGATCTGCCATAAACTCCATACACCTCACCCCAAAAGGAGAATCCTCACAATCTCAACTCCAGACCATGTAAGTCAAAATAGATGAATCTTAAAATATGGAAAGGATCTCAAAATATGAAAGGAATTTTAGTATCCCAACAGGCAAAAATGCATTTACCACAGTAAGCTGGATTTGTTGAAAAGTCTGTATCTTAAGAACTAAACTATAGATTTTCAACTTCATTAGCTTTTCCATGTTGATACATGGATGTGAAGACTGGAAATGCATGAGAGATAAAAACAGGCGTCTGTATACTTCTGAAAGCAAATAGACATACAAGGGAACAAAACCCTGGCAAATGTCAGGATGAATCTGTTAGCTTCACAATCAAAAGTTACCCAGAAAGGTAGGAGAAAATTTCTAGGATATATGTTAAGAATGAATAGAGATAATCTGTTAGGAGAGGGATATGCAGAGAAACAGGGCCAAACAAACACTACTGAAAACAAGAAAAATTCATGGGGCTTCATAACACAAAGGACAGAGAGCAGCCAGAAACAGACTGGAATAGCAGGAGTCATGCTCATGCCTGTAGCACATTTAAAAGGAATGGTTCACCTGTGACGTAGGGTCAGCTGAACTCTAGCAATACAAAATTGCTTGCTGGCACATTTGGTTCTAAATGAAAGGAGAGGGTAAAAGGGGAAATGATAGGGCAGTGGCTGTAATTATGGCCCTTATGACTTTACTGACCAGTGTAGTGAATTCCTTCCTCTATGTTAACTCCTAACCAGGAGTAACTCTGGGTACTAACATATCCATTCACCAAGAACTGCAGCTCTCCCCTTGGTCCAGCCCTTTATTTCGATCTCTCCCATGATGTTGCTGCCCGGGCTATGCATACTCACAACTGGGAGTGGGCAGTGGGAAAGCTCATCTGCGCTCCCTTCCTCAGAGGGAATGAGAAGGCTTGTGAGTGAGTAATAAGCCAAACAACTGTATCACTCATTAACTGTTCAATAGCAACAGCCCCTCCCAGTGCACCAGCTTACTTGCATGCAAATTGAGACTGGTTAATGAGAGGACTTTTCAAGTAAAACTGATTTATGTAATCTGACCATCCTTGAAGCTGTTCTTGCAGAACTTGTATTATGAACTATAGGAAGGAAGAGGATGTTCATTTAAACCCCTTTGGAAAAGCAGCTTCATTTCTACTTCTTCAGAGGATAATGGAAGGAACAGACTGTCCCTGCCTCATGGAGAAAGTTCCCAGATTGTGCTTCTTCATGCACTGGCCACTGATGCTCAGGAGTGTCCTATGTTTGTGACTCTTGACATCAGCTTCTATTATAATAATATAGTGGTGTGATTCCATAAAACACATTCTGGAGTTCCCCAAGGCAAAACAAATGAAAACCTTCTCTATTCTTCCCATTTGGAAAAGTGTGATTGCATCAGATGAAGCAATTTGATATTCTAACTAATCTCTAAAATTATGCCTAGAGGTTGGATTTTTGTTTGAGTGACTACCTCATTTACACAAAAATTCAAGACAACTAGAAGAAAATGAGGTTGTAAAACATGCTAACAGTTTAGCTCGTTGCTACCAGAGAAACTTGCCAGTATGATTGCAAAAGAATAACCTGACATGATTTGTCTTTCTAGGATCTACAGCCTTGTCATGGTCTGAAAACTAAGACAACCAAGACAAAACTAAGGCATAGATTGTGAGTTTGAAAGGTTTTCCCCCTTAATGCAACAGAGAAAAAGTCTCTCTGCGGGTACGTTGCAGATTCCTGCCCGTGTTCTTCACATACTAATCTGGGATTATCACTTCTACACTTATATGCTGAGGGACCAAGTAAATCCCTCTACTATCTTATTTTTATTGGGACTGACCTCCAAACAGAACAGGAAATCTCTTTGTAAGCAAATTCCCATAGCCAGTCCCCTTGCTGTTTAGTCTGCATTGGATTAAGCAGTGACTTGCTAGCTTCTTTGATTGGCAACTATAGTACTATAAAAACAAATGTACAGAGCAAATCTCACCAGAAAAGCCTCCCAATCTGCAGACCCTTTCAGCTTTATTTGGACTGAAACTTGATGATAGCTCCACTAGACAGGAAACACTCACCCCTCCTTTCTAATGTGGCACTACCAGGAGAACACATTTTCTCACAGACCAAGTAGCGGAACTGAGAGCAGGGGAGAAAGCAGGAACACCAGAGACCTCCTATAATACATGTCTCAAATTCAAGCTGTTGTAAGACACAGAAGCTGCCAACACTATTTATTTACCCTGCAGTTAATTCTTTGATTGAGAAAAAACATGGTTTATGCCATGCTTGAAATTGGGTGAGATATGGAGAAAGCAAAGCCAACCCAGGCATTTTAAGTCCACCATATGGTAGAAGTTGGAAGGAGAAGGAAAACATTTTCCTTGTTTTCTCACTGGACATAACACACTGCTTGTTAATGACACTTTACAATTCTGTATCACCAGGAAGAACCCCTCAGGTGTTTAGGACTGTCTTTGAAGCTGTAAGAACTCACAGATACATAGAAGAGGCTGTACAGCACCCAACATTGTCAGAAAATCTTAAGGTAAGCATACATGAGATAGAAAAGGAGTTTGGTGCATTATTCTTCTATTCTGTAGCAGATCTATTAAGACACATGATACTTATGTGAATTGACCACAGATTGAAAAGTCAGAGAAATTAAATATTTATTTTTGAGGCCAAATCAGACACATCGCATAGTTGAGGTAGCATTAAACAAATGAACCACCAGCAGGTGTGAAGTGCAAATCCTGTCCTTCTTAAACTTGCATCATGTGCATTTGGCACTACTCTCTAACTTAAACCTTATCAGCCATGCCAGCCAATTGCCTCAGCTGCTTAGAATCATAGAATATCCTGAGTTGGAAGGGACCCATGAGGATCATGGAAGTCCAACTCCTGGCCCTGCAAAGGACACCCAAAAATCACACCATGTGCCTGAGAGCATTGTCCAAATGCTTCTTGAACTCTGGCAGGCTTGGTTCTGTGACCGTTTCCCTTGGGAGCTTGTTCTGGTGATCAGCCACCCTCTGGTCCAAACCTAGCCCAGTATTAAGTATGTAGCACAGGTTATCTGTTGGAAAGATGTGAATTCAACCATAGTCAAGGAATACATCTGAGAACTGGAAACCATACAGGCAAGTATGTGTGTGTACACAATTCTTCCATATCTGGATGGCCACAGAAAATATTTCTCCTACTGTTTTTTCACCAGAATAAAAGATGGATCAGTAACAGGTTTGAAATTATGCAGCCACCTACCTATGCACAACAAATTGCCTCCGAAGAGTCCTGGTAATTTGAGAAAGGTAAATCACAGCTCCACGCCTAAGTCAGCAAGGCATTTGCACTCCATCTGGGAATGTTAAATGCTGGTCCAGCTATACCTGACCAGGCCAGCTAAGGTCCATACTAAGCTCTCCTACCTAAAAGCCCAATAGGAAGGACACAAATAAAATTTCTGTGAGATTCTCTAGCTTTTTTTTAACTAAAGAAGTGGAGGTGGCCACTTACCATGAAGCAGCAGGGTTTTAAATCCAGGAAGCATCAGGAGGGCCATAGATTCTTGCTTCTCCCTCCCAGACCCAGCTATGTTCTGACTTGTTATCTAACTTTCCTTCTGCTGGGTCTCTTACCTGCTACATTTGGCATCCATTATATTCTTGATCTTCATTTGACAGAATGAAAAGCAGGAAGGGGTAACTGCCACCATCCCATTCACATGATTCATATTACTCTGAAGCACATTTCCACACCTGCTTTCATATGATTCACCTGAAGACACTTAAAGAGACACTAGAAAAAGTATTCTTATAGGCAAGAAAGTAGCTGCTTAATGTTGGCATGCACTTTCCTTTGGTGTAGGGTACCTACATTAGCCACTTCGTGTGACTGTCATCTCCTGTGCAAGATGGCCAAAGGCTGATTTTGCAGATCAGCCGCTGAACTTCTGTGAAAAAGAAAGAAAAAGAGTTAGGCTTCCTAGTTAGTTTTCTAGGATGTGTGAAGAAAGTCTTTGCTGGAGCTGGTAACAGCTCATCACCACCAGCAGGGCTGCTCACAATGCTTTCTCCCAGACAGCTCTGGAGGTGGCTGGATCCCTTCATGGGATGACATAATTCACTAAACCTGCAAAAAGCTATACCTGCCAAGGGTGTCGGGGGGGGGGGATGGTGGTGGAATCTTTCTGGCATTTTAGGAAGTTGAACTGCCTCAGCAGAGGGCAGTGATGCCAGAACTGCCATAACAGAGGGCGGGGCTCGTGACCGTGGGGTGAGGGAGAAGGGCCTCCACATTTGGCAGCAGGGAAGCATCATGCTGTTTTGGCTGTCCATGGAAGCACAGTCTGAGCCTTCTGCCAAATGACTGGATCACCAGGCCAGAGGCAAGCAAAGCTGCAGTGCTCCCAGGCCCTCCCTGCTGAAGCTGGCACTGTGCCTGGCACCCCAGGGTGTTAACTGGGGCAGGGAAACAGCACAACTGGCTGGACAACAGGGCAAAGGGACACTTGCCAGCTGGAGCAGAGCTCCAGGGGTGTCCCTCACACAGCTAGGAGAGACAGGTCTATGTCCTGCAAAAGAGCATCAGCCATATCGGGGGAAACCCTCATGATGTCCTAGACTAGATAACCATCCTTGCCTTCTGCTTGGAGTACAGCAATAAGGGGGTATGTCCCCTATCTGGCAGAGGAAGGACCTGATGCTGGGTATCCTGCCACCACAGAGGGGTTAGACTGAGGTTAAATCTTTATTTCCACCAGCTGCACTACTTTCTTGGTTTTTTGTTTTTGTTTTTTTTTTGCAGTTGGGGGACGACTGAGACTTCTCAAAGGACATTTGTGAAAGCTGTCATTTGTGGATGCCATCAGGGCTTAAGCATGAGCTGGGTATCTACCTACTGAGCTCAGGAAGGGAAGGGAAAAAAAAAGAAGAAAGAGAAAGCAGAGGCAGTCCCAGGCATGCCCAGCAGCAGACCTTTGGGCACCTCAGGAATTTTACTGGCAGGAACATAGGCACTTGCAGACTTCAGACGCCTCCAGGGTTAGGCAGTAGCTGAACAGGGGTTTTGAGGATCTAAATATTGGCTGCAAATGCCTATGAGGCAGCTTACATGCCTAAACCTTTTTTTGTGGCTCTAGCCCTAAACTAATATTATGGAAAATACCAACAATTATTAGGGACTTCTTATCAGATTGGATACATATTTCCTTTACATAACTTTACCATGGCCTCATTTATGTGGTGCTTAGAAAGGATGAATACCTGTTCTGCATGAGTAATTATGCCAAAGGCTTGTGTGAGGGAGGTAGTTTATGACTGCTGAATAAGGCCAGCTATGTTTACCTATACAGCTTCATCACTTAAACTAAAAATTGGTCTTACCGCTAAATCTCCCTCATTGCTTCATTTGCCTGATTGCAAACAGATCCCAGAACATGCAGTTGCACTAAGATGATTGATGCCAAGATGCTGCACTGAAAAGGAAGAATTCTTTTAAGTGTTATCATGACCATGAGCATAAGCAAAGCCATGCCACGTGACAAAATGTAAATAGAGCATTTCTTAGAAAAGCCATTTATTTGCCTCCATGATTTATTATTCAGTGACATATAGGGTATTTTTTCTTTGTTACTGGCACTCATGTTCATAATAACAAGGTACTTGACTTGAAGGTATTTGGCCAACCTTTCCAAAGTGCTATGTAAGCAGTAATCAGAGAGAGCTAGGCTTGTGAGTCAACAAATTGCTCTCCCATGCTGATCAAACAGTCTTGGCATCTCTATTAAAAAAAACCAAAACCAGATTTTGGACTGGCTTACCCAGTTTTCTCTCTAAAATTTTTTATTGTATTTGCATTTGGCAGAGTCCAGGCTCAAAATAACCAAAGGTGACAGTTGTTTTATTAATAATGTTTTACATGTGATTTTCATTTACATATAGAAGGATATATGAGATAGCCAGTTAGCCTCTAAAGTTCTTGTTGGCACAAATTGGGTTTCATTTGCTCAACCTAGAGGCAAATGCTTCTCTCGTTTTACACCATACCTCTGCAGCCTGCAGTAGAAAACAGTCTAATACTCGGGTCAAAGTTAGTCAGCTCAGTAGAGTTGAGGTTTATTATGAAAAGCTTTCATTCCAACCTACTCCAAGTTATTACTATTAAAGCAAGTAGCAATCAGATATACTGCACAAGCTGCTGGCATTATCGGAGGGGAGAACTCAAATCTAAGTGGGATTTATGCTCAGTTTCCATCATCTATGCCCATTATATGTGCCTACAAACCCAGGTCCTGAATACAAAATATACACCCATGCTTAATCTTGCTACTTCACTTGTAAATTAATGGCTTAAAATGAAATACCTGTAGTTGTGTATCATTTCACTGCTTCTGTGTGCAAAGTGAGTAGGGCTGCATGAATAATAGCATTTATTTTCACTGTGATTGCTGAATTCAAAATCTTTTGGAAGCTTGCGTTAAACTGGTGGAACTCTCCTCTCTTTCCTCCTCTTAATTTTTTTTTCCATGAAACAAAAAAAGAGGAAACCTTATGTGCATTGAAAAGCTCCTTCTGACCCCTAAAATGAAACACTTCGTTTTTGGACACATATAGTAAAAGCAAAGGAAATTAAAAGGCTAGATTTCCTAAAGCAAGAAGGGGTGTTCTCCCCCTTCTCATTCAGTAGCCAGTAGGCAAAAGATAATTTTTTTGGTTTCCTGAGGTCTTTGAAATGGCTATCTCCCTTCCCTGGAGATGCCGCTCACCATCCCTCAGCTTAAGGGGGACAACCAGGCTGTGACTTTACATGCAGCTTGCCTGCTGTGCAGTTTTCCTCCATGTTGCCTGTTTTGTGCTGCCCCAGGCATGGGAGCAACTCACAGGAAAATGAGGTGAGGTGTCACTGCCTGAACCAGATGCCTCCAAAGTAGCAGGTTATCCTGCTGCAGACAAGGTGCTCCCCTAAGGTACAGCCCTGCAAGTGAAAGCTCTTCCAAACACCCTCCTTTTGGTCCTGTTTTGGTTTGTCTGTATAGTAAGCTGTTCCCTAAACCCAGGGGCTGCTTATTCTCAGTGAGGGAGCCCTTCCAATCAGGCTACACATTTATGCTGCCTTTTAACCAAAGGGTTATTTCAGCATTTGGTTTCTACCAAAGTGCTGTTAAAATAGTTTCACTTATTGCAGGACCACAAACATCTGTTAATTATGGGTCTGGGGTTTATTTATTTATTTATTTTAATAGCTAGGTCTTATTGACCTTCACTTAAGCACTTTTGAAAATTTTACCCCATATAAAGACTGCCATGTTGAAAAGTGCTAACAATTACCATCATGGGAGTCTTGGATTCAAAGACAGTTTGCAGACCTCATTAAGCCAATGAGCTCGCCAAGTCCACTCTTTTCAGTTCAATGGAAGCAACACTTAAGTCCTTTCATACAGCAAACCAGCTGCTAGCAATGTAGGCTGCCTGACATGGGCAGGGAAAGCTAAGCTCACCCAGGGAGACTTGTGTGTTTTTCTACCAGAAGACAGTGACTCACAAAGGGAACTGTGAGAAGAACCCTAAAAAGCAGCAGGATGACAGGGGTTTTTCAGCATAGGGCTGATCAGTGAAGCAGTCAAGATCTCTGAGCTAGACAAAAGTCCCCTGGTTATCTTATGTCACAGGAAACACTATTTCTGTATAGTATCTGTCAAGAAGCATAGTCAAAGTGATAAATCTTGACTAATGCAGATCAAGACTGGCAAGGTTTTCCTAGCCCAGCTAGGGATGGACTAGCATGCTGCATCACGCCATTAAGAATTCTTGTCTTGCATGCAGAAGAAAAGCAGATTTTTGAGAAGTTTCGAGAAAATAAGATAAGCAAAACCAACTCTTCAAAGAGAGGTAAGATGCTCTAGGCATTCAACAGATCGAAAAGCCAGACTACATATTTGCATACTAAATATGGAGGTAGGAGAATGCCTCAGGCTAGACAACAGTGTTTCTATACTTTTCAGCTGTGTGTGAAGGGTAGACTACAGGCACCCATATACATCAGTTTGGGTGAAGCAGATCAATCTAACATTATCATAGTAATATGCACAGGGCAAGAGTAGTTTAGAAGCTCTCAGTCTAAAAGAAGTGAGAAGCATAGTAGCATTGGTATTCTATCAGGGAACTCAGAAATAAGAAGGGAGTGCACAGGTGCACAAAAGAGTTTAGACTACTGAATTCAGTGCTATTTAGGCACTTTTTATCTGTGAGGGAAAGAAAAAGTTTTGAAAATACATGACAGGTTTTTATGATCTGATTATTGAGAGATGTCTCTGCCTGAATTAAGATGCAGATGAGACCATATGCTGAAGTAAATAGTATGAATTTTATTTAAAACTCCATCCTTTCCCTTGGTTGTGTCATCCTCAGCTCAGGATGTTTTCAAGCGAGTATTTTCAAAGGGCAAGTCCCCTTTCCACTCTACTTGCACTGAAGTTATGAAGATGAAGCCTCACATTAACTCAGTACAATCCCTCAAAGTTTGGCCAAAACCACTCTATTATACTTAGGACTCTCTCTAAATTTGTATCCTACCATACATCCTTGCAAGCGCTAATCCAGTATAAAAACCAGAAGCTGCCCAAACATAATTCCCAGGGGGGATGTAACTGAATACCTCACTGTGCTATGGCCATTAACAAGTTTTATAGAAAGAAGAAAATAATACAAGATTTACTCTAGAACAAAAATACATGATAAAATTCCCTAGTGAACATTTTTGAGACATTGTGTCCATATTTAATTTACAGTTTCCTAGTGTTTATCTCTTCAGGTGGAATTTTACATATTAACCATTGGTAGAACACACCCCATTTTGTAATTCCCTTATCTTACTTAAATAGGAGACAGATAGCGACTTCTATATGTGCTCACACCTTGCTAATAGAAAACAGTGATATATTGAAAATTTCCTTATCGCCTTCAGTTTCCACACAGGTGTTCTTGGAGATAAACTACTGAATGATATAAACAGTGATTTCAGGTAAAAAGTAATCACTGGTCAAGAGGAAAGGGAAAAAAAAACCCTACCAAAAATTAAACCAGATTTCCCAAGTAGGATTTGGAACTGAAAATTATCAAATACAAGAGCATAAGTGTGAATTTTTTCCGCTGTGTCTGTGAAGCACAGAATCCCTTGGACTTCCTGTTAGTAATGCTTGGTCTCACTTCTCACAACTTCTCTTCCATTCTGAGATAATCTTGATGGACAATTCACAGATATGATAAGGAACTGTATGATATTCCCTTAGTTTTATCCGATGATAATATTCATCTGTCCACTGGCAGGTTTGTCTCCAAGGAGTGTTATCACAGGACAGCTCTTCTACTGTTATTCCTGAACAACGGTGGTAGGAGAGTAATTCTGGAAGAAGAATTACTGAGCTAGCTCAGTAATTGATTTTCAGCCAAACTGTTAGTATTCCTGTGATTGTTCTTTAAGATGCAATAGAGATCATTTAAATGTATTTAAACTAGCTAAACTGTGTTGCTGCCTTGTGCAATGAGTATATTGAATCACCTCAGATCCACAGAATATTGTAAAAGTTTATGTTCTACATTGCCTTTGATTATTTTCATTTTTGTATTCCAAAGAAAATTTGTATTCTCTAACCATTACTAAGTTCTTCCAAATGGACCACTAGCGGCCTAAAAAAGAAGCAAATGCACACTTGTTGTTGTAAAAGTGCATGACCAAGTCTTCACACCTGTGAATGCCACAGCTTTCTGGACAAGGTCATTAGGGACAAAACTGGAAACCCCAGTATGTGATGATGTTTTTGAAAATCCAGCCTCTCACAGTTTTCCACCATCTGCATTAATTATCCAATAATAGGATCAACTAAGATTAGTAATACATAAGCCCCTTCATGAAATGTAGAGGAATAAAGTATCAGTTTAACAGATGCAGGAATTCAAACATACATTTAATTTCACAAGAAACATTCCAAGATTGTCTCTCAGGCTTTCTCCAGAGCAACACAGACTGTGCTCCCTGTCAGAACAGGACTCTGGCTTTGTATTTATTATTGATGCGCCACTAACAGACTTCAGTGACTGCGCACAGCCAGGCAGACATCACCATCACTGGATAAGAGCACCAGACTCCTTAGTCTAAAGGATAGCATTGCCCTTCTCTTATCAATTCCCTTTAAAGTTTCTGCCATCTTACCAGGAATAAAAGGTACTTTCAAAAAATGGTCCTTTTGCTTGAGGGGAAAAAGTTGTTTTTTTTTTTATTTTCTCAGTGGCTAATAGATTATTTCTCTAGGACTAATTGAGTCCTGTTGAGTAAGGAAATCTATCTTTCTTAGATTTTGGAGATATCTTTTTGTGTTTAATGTAAAACATTAACAATGTCAGACCTATCAAATTTCTCTCTTATTTCTGCCTCACATGCTTTCCATAATGGTTTTATGCCCCAATTATGTCTTCCAAGTCTTGGTGTCTACCGAACTTCTGAAACTTGGAGTGAGGCACCTGGTTGATAAGTTTGGTTTGGGGGTTTTGCCTTCCTTTTATCAAAGCCTAACCATCAGTTTAAAAAAAGTAATCGTGAATATTTTCCATAAGGTCAAGTGTTGTCTGAATAGGTTTCTGTAAATCTATGAGAGTTACCAAGTTAAAAGCAGAGATTTCAAAGCCCAGAATGTGTGAATCAGTAATGGTAGGATTCAGCAGATCTCAGGTTTCCAAAGCTTCCAGTTTCTCAATAAGAGGTCCTAGTACATAGGCACAGCATGCCACCACACAGCTGGACAGCATCCTTACCATATCTACTTAGCACATATTCCTTTCTCAAACCCTCTTATAGAAGGTTCTTCACTCAAGGTGGATAGCAGTAGGAGTTTAAACCAAAAGCACCACTGGCAGAACAGTTTTCCAAGGGCAACTGTACAGAATATTCAGTATATCTTGATTATTCCTAAGCATTCTTGATAAGTGTGAGATATGCTTAACACTTCTCAATAAATCTTTTCATAGGAACAAGACCCCATAGGTATAATTTAACATGCATTAACCAAAATGGAGTAAAGCTCTTGAAGTGTCTTTACATTCTTGAGATCTGTTGCCTTATTTTTATTTGGAGTACCACAAGCAATCACATAGGTATTTTTTGTTCTTGTTGCAGTTCTTGTAACACGAGTGTTGGCTGTGGATTATGCCTCAGACTCCATCACCACCAGTACTGTCTCATGTCATTGACTTTTCCTTATTTTGCTCAGTCAGGGTCCAGTTGGATGCCATCATGTGTCAGAGTCCACAAGGAGGGATAGGGTCTGAGAGTGGATTCTCATGAGAAAGACAGCAATGTGAACAGGAAATGTCCCATCAGGAATCCTTTCTTGGGACAGGCTCCTGTGGAAAAGAACAAACCCTTATTGTCACTATTGCAGCTTTAACTTTATATTCTTCTGCTCATCCTTTGATTCATTCTCTCTCCCCCCCTCTATTCCCATCCGACGGGTGGGAAACAGGATATTTTGTGAAATTCTTTCCTTCCTGTGTGGGCCTACATGGCATCTTTAATTAGCAACTCTC